TATCAGAAAACAGATCAACTGTCGTGTACGGTGATGCAGTCTGCAGCAAACTACCATGAGATAAAGACCTACATTGAATTATACTCAAGTTATTGTAGGCTTAGGCCCAAGCATCGGACTTCTAGTCGATGACTTATTGACAAATATACAAAAATTGCATGTTATTAATGAAAAGGTAAGGGATGAAGAGACTTAATCTGTATACTGACCTCGGTCCACTCGGAGTGTTCCGGCAGCGGATCGTGGTGCTTGTTGAGCAGTGCGTCGGTGAGGATCTGTATCTCGGTGCGGGACAGCGCCGCCTCGCGCACGACGCGCACCAGCTCGCCCACGTTCACTCCGCCGCTGTCACCCGCTACTAACCACACGCACGCCGCGTCACAACACATTCACAAATAAACACTTCGCATCTAGTTTTAATTACTTGTTATTTAATGGAAACCGATTACACATGTTTGCTTTGCTAATTTAATGTCTAAATCTACTTTGCGACCTACTAAAAGGTAGTCTCGTAAACGAGAATTTATTGATTACTTTAAATTGTCAGTAAATAGTTGCACAGAATCTGACGTCTTAAAACATCTCCCAACACTTTTGGTGATTAAAGGGCGTGATGTACGTATGCAGTGAAGGCAAGAACTAACAACACTCACCCATGAGTGAAAGGACATTAGGTTCTGGCTTCTTCTTCTTATTCTTGCCGGGCGGGGAGGAGGCGGGGGCGGGCACGGGCGCGTTGGCTAGGGCCTGCTTCAGCAGTTTGTCGGTAGTGAGCTCGCTCGGCTGCGGAGCGTTCAGCGGCGGGACAACTTCCTCGCGAGGACTCTCTACCACCTCCTCCACGGGTTTCTTCTCAATCTTCTTACCTAAAGTTTACCGATAATAAATCAAGATCTTATTATAAAGAGGAAAGATTTGATTGTTTGTTTACATTATTGAAAGCTCCGAACCTACGAGACCAATTGGAAAGCATACTTTTTTGAGTAACATAAGATATTTTTGTCCCGGACGTGACCTACCGAAAAGAAATCTTATAAACTCGACGCAAGCATAACCGCAAGTGGGAATCTTCTATAAACTATCTTCTTAGCTAAAAGAAAATATTTGTCTCGATAGGAACAGACATTGTGTGCAAAGTATTACGTCATTTAGAGTTTGTATGTCTGCTTGTATTTAAATAGTTGTGTAAAGTTTATCACCACGGCTATCCACTAGTATTACCATTTATAACGTACCTTTGCGTTGTTCCTTGGCTGACTCGCCACTGTTGTGTCGCTCTCGAGCGGGCTCTTCCTTGGGGATCTCAACCGGGGTCGGGGGCTTCGCCACAGCCTTTGCGCCCTTAGCTGGCTTTACCGATTTGGTATCTTTCTTCTCTACAGCATCTTCAACCTTCTCTTTCTCTGGCACCTATAAATGTACTCGTTACACTATATCCCGCATACTTTCCTACGTCACATGCACCAAAACATTTATGTGAATTATTACAACTTAGTTATAATCATGCGAGTAAACAAACAGTGCATAGTTAGTGATACAGACTTACAAAGTTACGACATTACATAAAATCATACATAAAATAGTGACACAAACATAAAGATCAGCGAACAAGACTCTAACACGTGTCTAATTATATAAATAAAGAACACTAACACAAACATAGATAATAATGCAGCTATGAATTAGTCAAGTGATAGTTAAAATGTGGCATTACATCATGCAAACTAAAAGGCATTTTCTATAAAAATCGAAAAATATAGTTTTCCTAATAAATTTTTATTAACAAAATAAATCCAGGACCAATGATTTATTAACACGTCACAAATCTACTGAATGTAATGACTCCACTACAACATATAACAAGTTAACGAACACAAACACATCATGGCCGACACATATTACGTTCGTAGGGTGTAGACTCACTTTTTCCGCCACAAGTGTTGAATGCATCAACTCAAACTCATCTTTAGGATGCATTTCCTCAAAGTGGTTGGCGACAGTGACGGCGGTGGAGTCGGGCAGCGCACTCGGATCGCTAACGCAACTCGGATCCTCTTTGTTTACCAGTATCGGCTTTACTTTAGGATCCTTACCGCGTTTGCGGATCTGTACAAATAGTGTTGCACTGTAGTGGACTCGACCGTTCACATTAACTATTAGCGTACTTACAAATACAGGCATGCAAGCCCTATATCCAAACTATACCCCAGATTTAACTAAATAATATAATGTTAGTCATCTTAGTATGCATCATTTATACTGAATAGATAGTATGTTTCCAAGCAAACTAAATACTAAACTAGAAGATTTCATTATGGCAGTTGTAAATTGATACTTAATTATTTTTCATTACCCATTTCTATTACATATTTGAAGGAAAAATAACTTTTTATGACTTTAATTTTAAGTGTAAATATCAATTAACAACTATAAAGGGGTATTCAAAGAAGTATATTTACAAAGAAGTAACATATTAGTTTATCATTTTTAAGTAATCTTTCTTAATTGATATATTATAACATGTTAATGAAGTTTTAATCAAGTAAAATTAATCTATTCACATGAAATTTCAGCTATGTCAAATAGGTTACTTTAATTCAAATGTAATTGAAGCCCAATGTATTCTTCATATGATTGTGATAACTCTGAACCTTATCTTTTAAAAACATTAATGTTTTTAAGATAACATATTTAAACAAAATTCCTGATAAAACCATTTTATTTTTATGAATATCATCATGCAGTGTTACCGGCCAAGCAGATAATAATTTGCATGAATGAAGTGATTAAATGAATCAGTAATTGAAATAAATATATATCCAGGACCATATTAACCGGAAAACATGGGAAAACCACACCATACCTCAACAAAGATGTGCTAAATAATGTTAATGATTACTTAAACCAAAACCTTTAATTTTAAAACTAACATTCTCATTAAAGTTGGACATTGTCTGTGTAAAAATAGAATTCACTAGCAAAAATAAAACAACATATGTATACATACACACATTGCCTGTAGTCATAACTGTACTTGAATTACACAAAAATTGTATAGCGCAATTGCCTGGTTAGTAGTTGTCCTTTTATAGATGAAAATTCCTATCCATTGTTTACCTAACATTCTGGATAAGTAAATTTGTATAAATTGTAGACTATATAGTTTTGTATTTGTAGGAGCCTACCTTGACATTAGGGGTGGTGTCCCTGGGCACATCTACCACAACAGCTGAGCTGAACTCAACATGTCCCTTAGGAGCGGGTACAGAGTCATCTTCTACTCCACTCTCAGCGGGTGCCTCACTCTCCTGTTCACTGCCTGTCATCCCCACACTACTCTCCTTGCTCTTCTCCTTCTTCGCTAACTAAAATATTCCTTTTATTATTGCATTGCCACACAACAGAAGAGAGTTAACATGTCTACATGTCTTTGTCCATTGCAATTTATCCCTTCTTCATTAACAAGACAAACTGTAGTAATGATTGAGTACAATACATTACTTTAAAAGATATAATTTACTTCGTCGAGTACCGTCTTTGTAGACACAATTATAGAACAATAGGTTGCGGTCGTCGGTGACCGCTTGGTGTTTGACAGTTTAAAAGATATGAATGCTAATATTGATAGAATTACCTTTTTATTTGCCTTCTTCTCCTTTTTCTTAGGCTTATTTTTGCTTTCTGCAAGAGCAAGTAGTTCGGTGGTGGCTCGGCGTTGTTGAGCAATTGCCTCTTCATAGCTGGTGCCTGAGGCTGAGAACAGCCCCATAAGGAGCAGCATGGCGAGACCGGCTACCCCCACCCCACACAGCACGAGCAATGCCTGCAGCTCCATTGGATCTGCCGCACACGCCTACCCTACATTCAATATGTTACAATCTAATTATATTAATCTTATTTGATATTTCCTTGTGAGAGACCAATACACTGCGTATAGCTAACATATTATCAAGTTATTTTACACATAATAATGCATCTCATTCATCATCCACGGTTCTAGCGGCACGCTCTCGGCGAACAATAGTACAATGTTGATGCAACACTAGCTAACTTATACGAACCCCTGTTTGCTAAAAGAACTTCTTGTGTAGCGCAAGCACTAAAATAACTGTAGTTTTTCACAAAACCACTTGGAAATAAGCTAACAAAATGAAGGTATGAGCTGACACGTAAGCAATGACACATGTCAAAGGTTATTGACAGTCCTTTCGCTCAAAAGTATTTTTCTAATTAAAACTGATAAAGTAACAGTCTAATTGGAAAACAACTAGTAGATGGACAAAGGCTTATCTAATATGTTTATCTTGTTTAACAACAAGATTAGTAATTTAACAACCAGTTATTGAAATACAAAATTCAACATCCACCATTTATCACGTACATTTGAGTAAAACGATAAGATAAATTGTATTTACCTGTAATAAATTAAGTCCTCTTTAACAAGGCGTAGTTCTAAATAGTATTCTTATTATATCACGAACGTGCACCTTACTTTTAGGGGTCCCTTTGTGAAAGAATAAATTAAGTCTTGAATCAGATTTGCTTTCAACTTTTCTTTTTCGGACTTGACGACGACGACGACACCGAAGAACAAACCGGGTACTAACCACAGACTATCTATAGTATACATAGAATATTCTATTATACTCTGACATATCACAGACAAAATCGGATCGCCACCTATGGTGAATACCATAAAATTAAATAAATGAGAACAGAGAATCTATGAAGTGATTATAATTATAATTACGATCAGTATAAATATAAGACATGCATGGAGCCAACATGGAGCATGCATGGTGCATATTCATGACAGAGTTGATGGTATTATATAAATTTTACCCTTGCACATTAATGCCTCTTGAATTTGAATACAAAAAACGGAAAGTAAGTGGATTTTATCAAGATCGTGAAGTTGGCTTAGAATCAAATATTATTATTATTAGTGCGAGTTTACGAACGAAAATTAAAAAATAAACTTTGTCTTTGCGCAATGCTCACTGACAGACAGGACAGATGTCAGCTTTCATAATCAGTTGCATTTCATCGTAGCAAATTTTTGTCAATTAATTACTTTAATAAACAGCTGTCCTATTTCTATATTCATTTTACCATAGTTTTCGATATTATGTAAAGAGTATTCAATGTGGTGTGTTATTTTTGTGAAGTTGTGGCTATACTAATGTAATTTAAAGTGTCTCTGTGAATCCTTGAATATACTTTTTGTCCAAGAATGTCGATTCCTCCACTCGTTTGCAGTACTCCTCCTCCACCCGACCAGTGCGAAGACGACAAGGATCCTGGGGATTTCGACTTATCGTACAGTTGTTAGTGTTTCTTTTTCACTCATAGTAATCGAATCAGTCATTGTCGTTTGTCTTACGTCGTCAATTTCGTATAAATAATATGTTTATATAATAAACAACTATGTACTACATTTTATTATAAATTAGTGATAGTCAAATAACTATTTGATTTTGAATAACTATTCAAACTACATTCAATTGAAAACTAGTATGAAACCCAAGAGTACCTATTATAAGTATTATATTAAGTTCAGTGCATGCCATTTATTGTTCCTATTGTTTTAAGCTATTGTTCCTAACCAAGTGTCATCAAACAAGTATATTTAATTGAATCAAACTATAGAGAATGTGAGTGTTTTGAATTTTAATTATATGTTTGTCTTTTTCAGTGTCACAAGAGGATGATGATGATGAAGACAATGATTATAACTATGGCAACTTTTCTTCCTTCAACCATTATGGATCTAATGATAAACCACTTCAAATCAACAATCAAGAGGATCCTAAAAGCATAGACAATGACACACACAAAGAAATGTTCATGGAATATCAAATTAGCAAAGAAGCTGAACAAAGTAGCAGTATTAGTCAAATTAGTACCAATGGTGTACATGAAAACAAGTTGAAAGGTGAAGAAGATATGAATATAGAGGATTTAAATTTAAAATTGGAAGAAGAAATTGTTATAAATGTAGTTGAAAATTGTGATGAAAACGAGAATAGTGACCAGAATACTGATAGTATAAAAGATTTAAACATTCCATGTAACTCTAATAATAGCAGCCAGGATGATGATAGCACTAATATGTCTCCTTATGAAAATGTGATTGAACCCACTCCCACAAAGGAAATACTTACCGATTCAGATGAGGCAGTAGTTGACCAAGTACTACCAGATGACCAGTCTATTAATATAAGTGTAAAACATGAGAATACCCTTGGAGATACAAAAGAAAAGGAAGTTGATATACCAATCATCACAAATAGGCCCATTGAAGAAGACTGTACTGTAGAAAAGTTAAATGAAATTCCAGAAAGCTTTCAACATTCCTTGAATGAATTTGATATTAAATCAAGTGAAAATATGCAAGATGATGAGTTTGGAGACTTTGATGAATTCCAGTTTGTAAATACTAATACTACAAGTGTTGTTGCTAGTGTTGTTGACAGTTCCAATCCATGGGAGAATAATGAAACTAGTGAAGTGGACTTTGGTAACTTCACAGCTAATTTTGATGATAACAATTCTCCTGTGGAAGATTCAGCTAACACTGAAACTAGAAGTTCACCTAGTGGAGAGCCCCATGAGATTGTGAAAGAAGATACCTGTGAAGACGATGATTTTGGGGATTTTGATGACTTCAAATCATCTGCTAAAATGGAATCAAGTGAAGAGCAAGGGGAAGATCCATGTCATGAAATGTCAGTACTCAATTTACAGTCAACTGACAATGAACATCATATCATGGAAAGTGTGACCAAAGTATTAACTTCAGTATTTGTTGAAGAAATATCAGAACCCAGTGAAGAATTTGAAGGGAAAATAGAATCATTGCTGAGTGAAACATGGGGACACTTGATGGAAACTGATGAGAGGCAACCATACATTGTGAACTGGAACAACTCTTTAGGACAGAAGACTCTCTTAAAAGCTTTGTGTATAGACTCCAGAAACATTGTGAGTATTTTTAAAATTATTCACTTTATACACATATATGCACAAACTCGTGCCTATATTCCATTTCATCAGGAACTTCAGAATACCACCTACTACTTCTTATATCCTTCCATAAGTATGTAAATAAATTACTTGAATTAAAAAAGATGGTCCACAAGACCTTACCTTACTCACAGTAATTAAGTATACATCATCATTGTTTTTCTCTTGTAAGTATGGTATAGAAGGAATGTAACTAGGTATTCAAAATATGATAGTAGTATAGCTAGATAGAAAAGAAAAAAGAATTTAAAAATATTTCATCAAGTTAAAATTGAAATACATAAAAATTATAACATATTTTCAGCTATTTGGACCAAAATGGGGTAGCCACATGCCAAAATATGCAGCAAACTTGAGTGTGGCGCCTCTTCAACCGCAGAAGCAAGCTGCCGCGCCATCTAATGTCAGTCAGAGTGAACCTATGACTGATAAACCATCAAGCAAGCCCACCACTTGGTCTGACCCATTCTCATCAGAGGGTCAAGAATGTAAGTAGCTGGTGTTTTACAAAAATTGACTAACAAATTGACAGTGAATCAACCTCAATTAACATGTAATTGGCACATTATGCAACTCAGTAAAACAACACGCAAATTTTGCACAGTCCAGTCGAAATGCCAGAGAATAATATTAACATTATGTTTATATAATCAATTGTTATTGAACCAAAATAATGTGAATTCTTGAACAAATTAACAAAGCTTGTCATAATATACTCACAATGGTAATTCTTTTGCATGTCTTGCACTTGGATCAATAAACATCCACCTGTATATTATCTGCTTTATCCTATCCATAGTCACCTATGCCGAAGCCCTTCTCCTTGACCTTGAACACCTAATGGCCACCCTAGACCAAATGGCTCATAACCATTCCACCCTCAAGATATCTGAGTTACTGTCACATGGTAAGTTAGCTATGCCTTCCTTACAGGATTACACTTGGTAAGACTATTTATGTAATTTTTACCTAATTTAATTATAAATTCTTTGTTTACTGGGTAAAAATTGACAGTAGATTTTAGACTTTTCTAGTAGAGTTCAGTAGAACGAAACGAAATTATCCCGTTTAGAAATGAAGCGTAGCGTGCGAATTTTATGATACGAGAGCATGAATTATACAAACAACAAAAATTGACGTGTAAAAGTGCTGCCTTGTAGCCTATTTGCAGAAATAAATTCACTTGTTTCACTGTTTCACTAGCTTACGAAACATATCCTAGTAAACTTCTCATATGCACGAGACCGATAGAACAAACTGGTTTATAGGTAGTACCTACATATAATAGCGTATGAAGTCTATGTGTCATATTTCTCTTCAGACCTTATAAATTAGAGTTCTTCATCCTGCATCTTATCGAACAAAAAAAAACAAGATTAGCTCTTTGTTGTGTTACTTTTTAGCTATATTTTCTTGAGCATGTTCATTGTCAATACATAATGATATGTTAATTAGTATTTTCTTACCTGTTTCAGCTTGTAACACAGAACATGAAAGTGCTGGTGGATCCATAGCGCCTAGGCCAACGGATTTAGATGTATTTGAAGCTGCTATGTCTACGAAGTCAGAGAAAATATACTCAAGTACATTAAATGTACAACCTATACGACAAATAAATTTACCTGACACTCATATATTTACGCCGACCGACTCTGAGATACCCAGGTCTAAAACAATACACTACGACCCTAGTCCGACAGTTCTCTTACCGCAGCCGGTTGTACCGGACGCTAAGAACATAGACAACCCTCTTACACCAACTACAAGTCAAATGGTTAAAGCTAATACGGAGGATGACAGCGAATATTGGGAGTTTCAAGACTTCAAGGGCACACCCGAGTCCAGTTCCTTGCCAGGTTTAGTAAGCCAACAGAAAGTACCCGACGAAAGCAATGTGCACACAGCCACGACGGTTAATGCGTTGCCCAATCCCAGTGTAGCGTATCAAACGCAGCTGTTACAGCCTATTAAGATAGAACCTGCAATGCCTACACTAAACTGGCCTGACCCTGGTGAAGTGAAAGCCACATATGACGATTTCACAGATTTTGTGTCAATATCAACATCATTACCCGAAACACAAGACTATACTAAACCACAAGACGTAGAATTAGATACCCAGTCGAATACACTCAAGTCTGATAACTTCAATGATCTCAAAGAGAAAGTGAAAGTAGTTGCAGAAGCGAGCAAACCTGAGAATGAGAGTTTGGATGACGATTTTGATACTTTTCAATCGGCACTACCCTCAAAAGCTACACAGAGCAATAAGTTTAAATCAAACACTTTTGGTGATACTCAAACACATTTTGAGCAACCAATGGATTTCGATTATGCATCTTCGAAAACTAACCATATGAAGTCTGATACCATATCATTTACGACTATGACAAGACCAAATGAAGCTTTAACAAACAATGTAAGTTACAACTCGCATATACCAGAATCTACGAATAAGATTGCGTTGTCTTCAAATACACCAGTACAAACAGGTCTTCTGCAGCCTACACCTGCGAGTTTTGCCCCTGTGAATACACAAAATCAACGAACGACTGGCCAAATATTGCAACCCTTATCATTAGAAAGCTATTCGCAAATTAACTGGCCAAGTCCTGGCATAGATTTGCAGGACCTGTCAAGGTTTAATCCTGTTGAAACTCTACAATCTTTGAAAAGCGATTTAAGTGTTAGTGGTCTTAGTAAAGTTGCCTCACCAGTTCACTCACAAAAAAGTACAACAGTCAGCCAGCCACCCGATGATGATGTTTGGGGCGACTTTGTATCGAGCAAGCCTAAACAACAACCTTCTCAACCGAAGAAACCGCCAGTTTTTGCGGAAGATGATGAATGGTCAGACTTTATATCTAGCCCGAGTGTAAAATCCCAAAACGGATTAAATACGATAAGTTTAAATGTGCACACTAACTCTAATATCCAAAAAACAGTTCAGAATAAATTTTCAATGAAAAATAACCAGACCCCTGTCGATATTCCGACATTAAATTATATAACTCCGAAATCCAACCCTCATAAGACATACAATGATAAACATTTCCAGAACTTATAACAACACTGCACTACAATTATACTAATTTATTAAAACTGTACTTAATGTAATAAGTATTACATGAAATTATAATTATGTATATAGGGTGATGGTGTATAATTTTGTAATATTTCTATTTAATTTTACAAAAGTCAGAATTTATTGTAATTGATTTTGCACTAGATAGTAGCATATTAGGTATTCGTACCCGTTATTAGCTGTTATATTTAGCACTTGCACATGCTCATAATGTGATTAGAGCAAGAAGAATTGCAGACGAAATTATAATTTAACTAATATACAGAGAGCTCATATTAATTTAATTTGATTCCAATTGTAGTAGCGTGCAAGTTTGTATCAAGTCCCGTCCTAATTATTTTGAATTAGTTTGTCATTAAGTTTTGTCAGTGCAATGGATTAAGCGTTGTATTATTAAATAACGTAAGCCAGTAAAAGCAATATGTAATTATGAAATTATTATTGATTTATCGTGTTTGTATATACTTAATGTGAATTACCTATGTATAAATTGTAAATTTGTTTAAAATGTATATGACTACATGGAGAAGGTTTATTTTGTCTGTTAAAGTTTAGCACTGATAGTCTGATATATTAAACTAAAACTGATAAATGTTTAGGTTGTACTGTGAGTGAGGCACTAAAAGTATATCAAATCCATATTACATAGACGATATCAGAGCTACAGGATGTCAGAGTATAAGTAAAATATATACTATTTATTTGCACCAAATATAAATCGGACGATAGTAATAATAACTGCTGTATGTTAATAAAACATAATGAAGGTGTTAATAACCATTTTAGATTCAAATTGCTCCAGTTGTTGGAAGTATATTTTGTCAGTATTTGTAAATCAAGATTAACATGTATTTTATTTATAATCAATTAATTTTTCACATAATATTTCTACGAATTATTTAATTATTTTAACGACCAATGTATGTTTCTTGTTTATACTGTGAACAATTGGTTGTAGCTGATTGTTAATAAAGTGTAAATAATGAGACTTATTATCCTTCTAAACTGTGGTTTTATTAATTAATATTAGATTATTAAAATACTATGTTTCACTTTCCGTGTCTGAATGTTCCATATCTTCTATGTGAGTACCAATAACTTCCTTGTCGTCGTCGTCGATGTTTGTAAAGAATTTAGGTAAATTGTTTTCCATAGTAACCCTGAACTGGCATTGTTCAAACTCAGGCCAGGAAATGAATCTAAAAAAGAAAGTTTTCTTGTAAATTCCTTTTGCAAGCACCAATAACTTGGAGAAAAACCTAAAGCCAAATGTTTTAAAAGAAAGTTAAGAATCCTCTCCTTTGCATTATCAACAGCTACCTACTACCTACATAGTACATAGTAGAGCATTTTTTGATTTTGATAGCCAAATACTAAGGCGTTAAGACAACAGTATAAACTCGAGCTCACTTTTTGAACACGGTGATCTTTTGCTGTAAGTTTAAATCTCCGAATTCTGTGAAGATGGTCATATGAGGCAATTCAGCGTCATCTTGGTTTGGGGCTAATTGTTTATTTGTATCTGGAGGATCTTGACCCGTTATTAGCCACACGCCGCAACCAGGTATCCACTGTCTGGAATATGGTAAAACTCTATAAATTAAATGTTTTTCTTTTTAGAATTTTGTATCTTTTGAAACAATAGGGTAGATGACTAATTTCTATTTTAATGTCCGTCTGGTAGATTATTTAAAAACATTTGACACGTATTTTTTATTTTCTTACAAAAACGAATAGTTTAGAAGATGATTTGAAATGTCGTATGACGTGTCTTTTTATTCTCACACTTTTATACTCTAAAATGACGTAGCTAGCTCCCACTCCTAAACTTTGATTCGTTTTATATACCTAAGTATTGTTTTCTTATACGACAAAATAAAAAAATACGTTTTTTAAGGTTTTTTCATTACCTGACATTAGATTTTTAATTTTCTTACCCTGTCATTATCCTTATGTAATATGACTAAATTTTCTACATTCTGGTAAAAGCAATCAATGTGATTCTTTCTTACTGTGAGATAGCCATTAGGACTCATACATGTAGGAAGGAATCATCAAATGATTTTCACTAGCTTAACCTGAGTGTGTAGGGTCCATGGGTTTCATCCATAATGAACTTAAAAAGAAATTATTTTTGGTTACTCACTCTAACATTGGTATAACTCTTGTTGTCTTGGATAACATGTGTGGTTTGAAGAAATACCAGAGTAGAGGCAAGTACTCTGGTGAACACGGCAACTTATCCTTTTGTGTAATGTTTACTAGTACTAGTTGGTGTTCATCCATCTGAAACAACGAAAATCACATCAAAATTGGCTAGCTGTAGTGTCACAGACAGGCATTAGTGTCAAAGTTTTATTATACTTGTCTTCTTAATGTTAAAAGTTAAACATTATTGGATTTTTTGTTTTTTGTTGTTTGAAAAGACAAGCCTGAAGGTATGCACAAAGAGAATGAAAAGGATAAATGACAACTTCTGACTTTCTGACACACATGAACTAAATTATTTATAGCTGCTGCTTTAGATATTATATTATTTGTGTCTAGATATCTTATAATAGTATAATACTGTTAACTGTTGCTGTTGGTTTGTAGTCAGTATATATATAAATCATAAAATTATGGATTTAATTATTGGTAATTAGTAGTATGTTTCTTGTAAGGTGTCAAGCCGCCACTAGCTGGTAGCAGGGTTCCATATCTATCGATTTAAAGTTTCGAGCTAGTGGCGGCTTGACACCTTACAAGAAACACTCTGTATAAACAATCACACTTGCCATTGTTATTTTCTTGCTATCAGGTTTGTGTGTCCATGGTAAAAAGTGTACTTTAGGTACAGTTGTCAGTACTTTGTGATCAAAAAGCATCTGAAACAATGCCGGTACAGATCTGTGCTTCTTCAGCTGCACCTCATTATCTGTAAGGAACTAAAGTATTGAATAAAATTATACTCTGATTTAAATAAAAAATAACTGCATGTAGAAAATAAAAATAATACTTCATAGTGATATCCTGGCATTGTGATGAATAGATCTGGTTTGCCGAGTTGGTTTGTAGTGTTGTGAAATATAATATTATTAATTAAATGTTTCACAAAGGACAACCCGGGCATTGATCCAATTATTTTAACGACTCTACCTGAAATATTTATTAAAAAGTCATTATGAATATTTTTTAATGGACTTGAAGATTTGTCTTATGAATTAAGAATGTTGTGAGAGTACTCACTTTTATCATATGTGCAAAGTTCTCCAAGTAACTCTTCAATTCTGTTTCCCTGGTCTATTTTGTCTTTAAATGCTAATTTCCACATTCCAAAAAAATCTGCTATTTTGAATTTCACTCTACCTGGGTGTAGTTCTTGTAATTTCTGAAATATGGCAAAACTATAATAATGTATGTGTAAACCTTAGAAACTAACATTGAGTTTCCCCTAATTAAGTAAAATTATACTTACACTTAAGTGTGTAGAGAACTGGGTTGACATTTCATACATGTAAATTGGATTTTTCTGACATTGCAACAGTTCCTCACTTAGATAACCAAAACCTGGGTTGACTTCAATTAAAGGAGAGTCATTATCAATGCTATCTTTAATTGTTTTTACTATTTCTTTTGCAGTTTTTTTGTTTATTAGATACATACTTTCAGGTGTCTTGTATTTTCTTAAGAGTGAATTGGGAATTTTATTTTTAATTTCACTGTACTCGGGAGTACTATTTATATAATTCACGACATCTGTAGCTAGTTTTGGCGGTGGTTTCTCCTTTGGTTGCCGACTTGCCCTTTGACTTAACCTCAAATGGAAATTGAAATTACTTCCCTTGGTAATCAGGTTCAAGCAAGTTTGTGATCTTTGTAACATTTTAGAAGCACTTTTCTACTCGCAGCACTTGGTTCCTTTTTTGTTTTGATTTAAACTTCAATAGAACTGCTCAACATAACCTATTGCAATGAACTACAATTACAACAACAACAAATATTAACAATGTCATAACCAGGGCCGTCACACTTAGAGCCATTGACAGCTTTAAAAATCGAACCGTCAGCTACATCTAGTTTTCGAACCTGAAATTAAATGTTGTCAAAACTTTTTTTTTTGTTGTCAAAACTAATATTTTCAGTGGCCACACAGTTCCAACCAAGGTTGCAACATTATTTCAAAATTTAGGGTTAAACATTTTTTTTTTGGAAATAGTACAATAACATTATACACATTTATTTAATACTATATTGCAATTTTTATAAAATAATTTTTCCTTAAACTTAGATCAAATGACAGTTATGCTGGCATAATCGTTCAAAGATGACGGCCTTTTTACTAATAAAGAGATTAAAAAGATATCAAGTGATGGATGACAAACTAAACTCTATGAAGTGACTGCGTCAGGTTTCTTCAAAAGCATTAACCTAAGAGCCTGTTAACCCCAGGTCTAGGCCACCGTTTTTATTATATAAAAACTAATATTATATGAAAATACTCAATTTTCATAGAAAATCTATAAAATATGTTGCACACATTCTTTCTGTCTGTTTATCACACACACACACACACACACACACACACACACACACACACACATACATACACACACACACACACACACACACACATCTATAAAATAGGAGATACTGCTACCAGGCGCGTCTCCCCGTAGCGCACACACACACACACACACACACACACACACACACACATAATTAGTTGATACTGACAGAGGGTAGGGGTGAAATCAAATAACCCCCGTGGACGAAACTCCCATGTAAAGTGGTTGGTCACACTAACTGACCTAGCAAGACGATTGTGCACACACACACACACACACACACACACACATACATACACACACACACACACACACACACACACCTGCGGCAGAGGAGATACTGCTACCAGGCGCGTCTCCCCGTAGCGGATGGGAGAAAGCTCGCTGTCTTTAAATGATGCTAAGCTTATTAGTTGATACTGACAGAGGGTAGGGGTGAAATCAAATAACCCCCGTGGACGAAACTCCCATGTAAAGTGGTTGGTCACACTAACTGACCTAGCAAGACGATTGTTCCCTGCTGTAACTCACTGGGAGTGTCCGGAACCCGTATTGGCTATTTCCGACGATGCGGGCCACGGCTGATGTGAGCTTGCTCTGCCGAGGTGCAAGTTGCAGCAGTGGATCAGGAGCCAGCCACTTCGGGCCTTGATCAGGAAGTACGCAGTGAGTGACGGACCGTAATCCGCACCGTTACGAGTGAGTCTAGTCCGTCCGTGAATCCCGGGACTGGCTAAGTGTAGACTAAGCCTCAGGGAACTGGGGTAGGAGTAATATCTCCGAGGGTACACCCGTTCTTAGTTGCGCAACCCGCTCCGCTCCGTACGATGCGCTGGTAAACCTAAAGCATGGAGATAAATAAGGAAACAAACAAGAATTTAAATGGGGCTCATGCCCAACAGGAAGCATTGGAAGCAAGCGCTGAAATGAAGCGTTCACAAGCGCTGGAACGGCTTGAAAGGCTAACCAGTGAACTACACGAATTTGTCCAGTCGAAGGTCAATATCCACAAAGAGATAAAGACCAAGACAATTAATGTGATGCACGCACTCCGAAGATTTAAAACACTGGATGAAGAATGCCAGTCAACAAGACGACCTACGCTGCGTGTGACACAGACGAAAAGCAGTCAAACTATAGAGGAGACGGAAGAAGTGATGGACACTGGCGGCGAAGCTGACTGCGAATCAGTCGCAAGTGAACAAAGTGTCATGAAGTCTGGAAAAAGGAAACAGCGAACCTCTCCTGAACCGATAGAGACACAAGTCAAGAAGAAGGACTTAAAACAGAGTCCACCAAAGAACATTGCGGAGCTAGATGCTGCTAAGAAGACAACGCCAGCTTGGCAAATTGTCCAATCAAAGAAGGATAAGAGGAAACAAA